CCAGCAGCCATTGTGCAGCGGTCAAACCAGCTGACCAAATGTTCTGGAACTCCACTTGGTTTGCTAGGTGACAGGGCTAATGTTGCTAGGTAACTGCACCAGAAACAGACACAAACTTGCAGCTTCATATTAAAATTAATTGATATGGAATTTTTTTTCTTTTGCCTGATTTTGTTATCTTATAATTATTTATTTGAATTATTGTCATTTTGGTCTTTACAATTCCAAAATTCTAAATAACTTTATATTTTGGTCCGTCTAATGATGTGACTTTTAAATATTAAATAATTGATGTTTTGATCAGAAACATCAAATACTTTTTTTTTTGATGCCTTCTTTGACTTCACTAAAAATATGATAAAGTAGTGCTGCTCTTATTTGAGTAAAATCTTTTGGTATTCTACCTACATCTGCATGTGTTAGAATGGTCTAGTCAAAGCCCAGACGTATTCCCAACTAAAATCTGTTTAATTTTGAGCTGCTTTGGAATAAAAATAGGATTTTCTGTAGATGAAGTGACATGGCTCCAAATATTCCGGCAGAGAAACAAGCTTCAACACAGAAGTGACTCCAGACAGTTTGATAAATATATTTTATGGTTCCAACTCCTTTTTTTTTCTTCTTAAATTCACGTTAGGCCTGATGCTTAGCAACTCCACAGATGTGAGTAACAACAAAAAACTGACAATAATCACCTGTGTGTGCAACAATTCGGGGCTTGTGCAGAAATTAAAGAAGGTATTTCTGTATGTTTGGGTGGAAGTTCGAGGACTAACGTGCTACTTCCTCTTTAGTGTGCATTCTAGGGGTGTGTCGTCTCCTCCAGTGTATATCCACGTGAATGTTTGAGTCGCACTATACAGCCTGGGGTGGGGACCCGGAGCCACAGGAAAGAGCTGGAGGTTACACACACACACACACACACACACATATGAAAACGTGGCTGCTCTTTTATATGGAGTCTGGGCTATTGTGTCATAAAAAAACTGTTATAGCAAGCAAGAAAGGGGAGCAGGAAGGAAACTTTATGATTTATGATTCGACTGCAAAGACGAAGGAGGAAATTTATGGCGAGGGGGACTGACGGGGATTTGAGAGCAGAGAGGAGAAGGTCAGACCAGTGAGTGGAGAGAAAAACTGGGAAAAGCTGAAGAACTGGATCTGTTCTTTAGTGAACTCTGATAGTGCAAATTTTTAGCCACCAAAAATAGGACTGTTATGATCATGCTTTGATCTTTGGCTGTTTTACAAATAAACACAACAAACTCCATAAGTGTTTACATACATGTTGGTGTTTGGATTTACTCTGACTTTATTCATTTTTCAAATAGCATTTCTTTCATTACAGTCTATATTGTTGGTATTATTGTTAATTTTATTTATTTATATATTGTTTTAACACTTAAGATGCTTTGTTTAAAGCATCTTAACACAATCACTGAATAAATGTTTAGAACAGATAAATGTGTGGATGTGCCAAAACTTTCTCCAGCTGAACAGAAACAAAACTGAAGTCATTATTTTTGGACCTAAAGAGGAACGATCTAAAGTCAATGCACAGCTTCAGTTATCACAACTAAAAACTAGTGATCAGGCCCGAAACCTGGGAGTAGTGATGGACTCGGACTTGAACCTTGCGAGCCACATAAAGACAATTACAAAGTCGGCCTTCTATCACCTGAAGAACATCTCCAGGATTAGAGGACTAATGTCTCAGCCAGATCTAGAGAAACTCATTCATGCGTTTATCTTTAGTCGCATTGATTATTGCAACAGCGTCTTCACAGGTCTGTCCAATAAATCAATCAGACAGCTGCAGCTGATCCAGAATGCTGCTGCTGATGTTCTCACTAAAACCAGGAAGATAGAGACATAACACCAGTTTTAAAGTCCCTCCACTGGCTCCCTGTAGCTCAGAGAATAGATTTTAAAATACTGTTGTTAGTTTATAAAACACTGAACGGCTTAGCACCACAATACATCAAAGATCTGCTGTTGTTGTATCAACCTTCCAGACCTCTCAGGTCTTCTGGTTCTGGTCTGCTCTGCATCCCCAGAACCAGAACCAAGAGAGGAGAAGCAGCTTTCAGCATCTATGCACCAAAAATTTGGAACAAACTTCCAGAAACCTGTAAAACAGCGGAAACCCTGACTTCTTTTAAATCGCAACTAAAAACACACCTGTTTAGAATTGTTTTTGAAATGTAATATGTTACAGTGTATTGTCTATTCTATGATGCATGACTTTGTGTTCTTGTGTTTATGATGTAAAGCACTTTGAAATGCCTTGCTGAAATGTGCTATACAAATAAAATTTGATTTGATTGATTGATTGTGTGAATTTTTATATTTGTTGCTGAATTTTCCTTTTGCAGAACAATAAAGGCTGTTTCTGTTTTATTCTAAATGTTGTGTTCATTTGCATTTAGCAAATGAACTCAGTACATTTGCACCAACTTCACTGCGACACAGAGCATAATATCACATTTATTTCACAAATAAAAATGTGGTAATTTAGGTACATATTTATATTTGTTTCCTCCTGCGTAGATACATTTGCAGATGCAGCTGAAGGAGATTTGGGATACGTCTTTACAGGCTTGTGATTTGATTCAAGCAGAGCTGATGCAGAGCTGAGCCAAATTGGCATTTCACTTTATTTTAAGAGATCTGATGATGAATATTTGAAAATCCAAAAGGTTTGATAAATAAAACCTAGACTGGATAATTTCTATCTGATCAGAGTTTCTTCGAAATTCAGATTGAGATTCAATAAACCTTAATTCTATAAGTAAAAATGCAAAGAATGAAGCAGATTAATGCTTTTTTGGAATTAGATATGGATTACAATGGTTTACATTTATATCCACAATATAAAGTAATTCTTAATTAGGGTTTATTAATTCATTATAATCACATTAAAACTTTTAAAAAAAATCCCAGGCTTTTATGTCATGATTTTATTGGGTTTGTTTTATGCTTTAAATTGTTTTAAGGTTGATTTTGATCATACTATGCTTTGTGATTTTATGTCTCTAAAAAGTGTTTTGCAAATAAATTTTACCTGCTCACATTACTTAGGATTTCTGAGATGTTAGTTTGTGTAAACAAATGAAGGGGGTGGGTATCGAAAGCCTTATTTTCATCTGTTTTCACCGTCAGGTGTAAAAAGGTTATTTTCCCACAAGATTATATGAATCTAAACAAAACAGCAAGACATTTAAAATAGTTTTTATGTCATAAAATCTCATTAGACAAGATTCAACTGGCTAAAAGAGGGAAGAAAACAAGCATTAGGACAAATCAAAAGAGGTTTCAGCAAGAAAAACTGTTCTGGCAAACATTTATTTTGAAAAGGCTTCAAGTTTGTTTCTATTCTTTAAATTTTTATGCATAAAATCTTCATTAAAGCCTGAAAAACACCAGATATTTCCCAGATAGACGTCATTAAACATGTAGCTGCAGCACACACTCAGCTTACACGCACATATGTGTTTAATCATACATTCCTGCAGCTCTTTGTGCAGGGACACATATCGCAGGACGCTGTGGACAAATGATCTGCAGGCACACACACACGCACGCACGCACACACACATGCACACACACACACACACGCACACACACACACACACGCACACGCACACGCACACGCACACGCACACACACACAGAGGCTTAAATTTAGACTGACACTGAGGGGAACATCTGGCATTCTTGAATTTAATGTCTGCATCTTTTTTTCAACAAATACAGGCATGTACAAAAAAAAAAAAAAAAACCTCTAGAGACCAAGAAAACAAAACAAAGAAGCTGGAATTCAGTTGCAGAGATTATTTACATTTAGTTAAGTGGACCAAAGAGAGTCATGGAAAAAAAATGAACTTTGTCAATGTTAAATTAGAAACTGGGATGACATTGCACTTTGATGAGGGTTTCTGATGTTTCTGTAAGGACTCGGACTGAATACAGCTTAGAGAAAACTAATACACGTCTACTGTACGAGTTCTCCTCTGTGGTCCAGATTTAAACTAAATGCCAGTGTGTCACCCACAGTGTGTGCTACAGTCGCCCTCCACTGTGATCCAGGAGTAATGCATCCATCTGTTGCACTGCAGCTGAAAACCAAAAGCTGGCATCACATCAATGCAGTAACAATGATCATTATGAACTTAAAAAACTAAAAAATAAAAAACTAGGAAGTGATTCTAACCTTGAAGTCGCTACTCTGCTCTACTAAATGTATATTTATAAGAACATATTGAATACGCTCAAGATCAAAAAAAGCAACTCTCTTTAAGACAACATATTTTATAAATTTATTAAGAAAACTTAAAATACAATGCTTATGGTTATCTCTAATAATAATGAAAATGATTATAAGGATAAACATGCACTCAAGTTTAGAAGTTTTCCCAAACTTTTGCCCCACAAAACAAAAATGTAAGAGGAATACGACCCAGACTCTCCAGGTTTAAAAGAAATGCTCGCATCAATAGATAATATATTTACTTACATGTTGCTTTTACTTATATTCAGTTGGTGTTTTTGCAGTTTGTTACATTTTTAAAATTCATATGCTTTGTGCTTAATATATATTTTTAGCATTTAGGTTGATTTCTGAAGAGGTCCTAAGTGGGGTCCTGACCCCAACTTTGAAAATGACTGCTTCCAAAAGTATCCATGCCTAACTTTTATTCCTCTTTTCCTCCATTATTCCCGTCCCTGTCCCTCGAAAAAGCACAGCGTTGGAACTTAACATCTAAAATACACGTAAGACCTCCTTAAAAAAGGGCCACGTCGTCAAGTACAAACTCTTATGATCACAAGAATAAGGGACAGGAGCAAAAAGGACGATTTTGTTTACTTACGTGAATGGAGAAGTCAGGCGGGACCTGTCTTCAACATGGACCAATAGCGTTGCGAGGAAGCTCCGATCGACGTTCATTTCAGCCAATCAGTGAAGGGTACAACTGGACAAGCGGGCTACGACACTGTTTTTTCCCTCTCAGCGCTCAGACTGAATCTAGCGTTTTTTGTCGTGTTTTAGCTTAATAACACGAGCAAACCGAGTCGAGGACACAAGAGTAAAACAAGCGGCTTGGAGCTAACTGGAGGACTTTCTTCCCAGCGTGGGTTTTTGGGACCGTTAAAGAGACGTTTTGCCCCCCTCCTGTCTTGACAGCTGGCTTGCGGATTGCCCCCGTTTCGCACTTAAAGTTCAGTGGTGAGTGGGTGAAAACTAGCTTAAAAAGACAACAGCGCAGGCTGGACGCACTCCGTGTGAATAAATAACTAGCCGCAGTTCTTCTGAACATGAGTCTATTTCTGCGTAATGTTACATCAAACTGTGTGTGCAAAAATAGGGAAATAACTCCTGAAAAATGCTGGTTAAAGGTCAGGACACGGTTCCCGAGGTTAGATGTGCGTAACGCGAGCTGTAGCAATTCCACGCGCACTATTGTCAACGTCAGAAATGTTTTATTTCGTAATGATTCAGCCAAATTCAGCCACGGTAGAGTTGAAACGAAACGGAAGCGTTTAAATGTCTTAATTAGTCGTGGGAAATGCTTTAATTCACGAAGCCACGCAAGCATTCGTGGAAGAGAGTGAAGAGCATCGTGGTGGATGTTTGTCCACATGATGCGTTCAGGGACCTCCTGTCAGCTCTGAATTTTTAAGATAAAAGTTCAGCTTTCTAAAACTCATTTAAAAAAAAATTGCTACAGTTGGAAAATGTGTTATCAAAAAACTGGAAAATTGGAAAATGTGTTATCAAAAAAACTGGAAAATATATGTTTATTTTTTTATTTTATTATTTTGATGGAGTAAAAGACGCATAAAAATAAGAAAAAAATTAATTAAAAACCTGCTGCTCTGGCTATGAAAAACATTAAACAGTCAAAAATATAGGAAAAAATATATTTGGAAACTATTTTGTCTTTATAAAACTGAATAATAATAATAATAATAAATAAGTAAAAATACAAAAATAAAAATTAACTTTCTAAAAAACACCTCACAAAAATGTGTAAAAATATTAAAAACTAAATAAAAAATGAAATATTTAATTCATAGACAAGTAAATCTGGCTTTGTCTAAACAAAAAAAAGCCTAAAAAGACAAAAGTTCAGTCATCTAATCTGCAGAACAAAATGAGGATGAAATTTGCATTTCTAAAAGAAGTAACTATACAAGCCTTAATTCTGAAAATAATGTAGCTAATTTTAATTTATCATGCGATCAATTGATTTACTGCTTATTTATTTGTATTATTTATAAATATATTATTTTTGTATATATTTACTGATTTTGAGCTTTCTGCCCTGACGTTTGAACATGTTGCGATTTACAATCTGTTTGTTAACGTTGTCCTTTTTACCCGCATTTCTAGTCATGTCTACAAATCTTGATTTTATTTCCTTTTTTTTTTTAAAGGACAAAAATAGTGAATAGAACAAGGAGGCTTACAAATCTGACTCAGTTCCACCGCTTCTGTCAGGAGGAATGGACCAGAACTCCAGCTGATTTTGAAAACCTAAATAAATAAATCTGATATATATTTCCTGTCATTGTTGTGGAATATAGCAAAAAGAGATACTTCAGGTAATTCTAACTGACTTAAAGCATGAAAGGTTTGGTCTGATTTAACTTCAAACAGAGGAACCTTTTTTTTTCTTTTTATTCAGTGCATTTAAACAGAGCTGGAAAAACACATTTACGAGTTAAGTGACTGCTTAGGACCCCTACCCCACCAGGGGGACCCCACGAGCATCAAGGTAACATGATAGAAATGAGTATATATATATATATATATATATATATATAATTTCCATTTTTTAAATAGTTGTACAAATAATAAGTTAGTTGCTTCCTGTTGATGGCTGCTTACACTGTTGTGGAAGCCTAAGATATCAAAGTTGTTTACAATAAATTTTGTGTTTATTTGCTATTACTTTCAGATGGTTGAAATAAAATGGCACTCTTAGATCAAATCAGAATCCAAAATTTTTTTCTTAGCTTGCTACTTATTTAAGGTTAAAATTAATGGCCATAATTACATGATGCTGATGCTAGTAGGTGCTAGTAGCATTTGTGTTTTGACATGTTGGTCCCAAAAAAGCTTGGGCCGCCCCTGTATTTAAATTTCTGGTTTCAATTGTAAACTGCTTTACAAGCAAATGAAAAATATTAGTTTTTAATCTAGTATTTTTTTTTTACCGTAAAGTCGCTGCGCACGTTCCCAAACCTTTAGAACACGCTAACCCATATTTAAAAACTTGACTATAAACCGTTTTTGCCGAGTTGCATTGGCTGTCACTGACATGTCGCGACATGTCCGAGCTGCTATAAAGTCCGCGAACGCATCAGCAGAGCACGATAGCAGCAGGCTAACAGGATTTAGCTCAGAGAAATCCCCCGCTGGAGAAACGACGAGCGAGCACTCTTCTCTGGGCACTACGACCCAATTAACGTTTCGCTTTCAGACGAATACCGACAGAACAATGCCAGGTAGATATAAATGTCGAAGTGCTGCATGTAAATGCCCGGTGATTGATGCGTGTTAGACGGCGGTTATGTTGGTAAGCGGACGCTTGTTTTGTTGACCTGCTTCAGGGATGCTGCCATGCTGTAGCAGCCTGCTAGCTGATAGCAAAGCCCACTTTGTTTGGCCTCAAATATTCGCGCAGCACCTGCGTTTGTCCTCGGTCTGCTTCGAAGCGTTTAAAAAGCTGATCTCGTCCCTTTTTAATTTGATGCTTGTAATGTTGGGGATGTTTTGCGCTTTTTGAGCTTGAGGTAAAAACAGTTTTGTGGCAGGCAGCCAGCCCCCCTCCGCTCTTTGTTGTTGCTGGGATAGCTTCTCACCTTTCCTTTTTTTTAGGCCCCGTCCACTGACAGTGTGTTTACAGCCGGCCTCTGAGCATTACCTCAGCTAAATCCGTTCACTCCAGGCAGCCTGGGCCACAGCTTTACACCTGGAGGAACCCGTTAGCAAGGCGTTAGCTCCGAGCCGCATCGCTCCTGTTACATGCAGCTCGGTTACATCACGGAAACAGTTAGGAAGGCGCTTATTTACACTGGTTATTATGGCCGAAACGGACAGTTTATCAATGGTTTGTTCCCCCCTGCTGACACTCATTAACGATATCTGATATTTTCAAGGTTTCACATACAGTTTAGTGTTTAAAATGTGTTTAAAATTCACAAATTATTAGAAAATGTCATAAACTGAATTAGTTGGTTGTTACCGCCTGCGTCCCTCCGTGTATTAAAAACATCATCATGCAATGTCTAAAATAGAAATACAAAACAAGTTGAAATATTTCAAAATGTAGCTTTAATCCAAAAATATATTTAAAAAAAGTTACTTATTTGGTTTATGTATATTCTCATATTTACCTTGATCTTTGTTTTTTCTATATATATTTTCTATATACTTTAGTTTTTCATGTAATTTTAAAAAAATATTAATCAAAACATACTTGGTGAATTGGATTTTGGTTTAGTCTTGCTGGTAAAATGATTAATTTACATTAAATTAGTCATCCTAACTGTTGCTGCTGATGCTCTTAAAGGAGAACGAGGGCAGAAGAAAATCAGGAAATATAATAATAATAATAATAATAATAATAATAATATATATATATATATATATATATATATATATATATATATATATATATAAAACATAGAGATACCCTTACAAACATGCAAGTTTTTCTTTTTAATACAGTAATTTAGTAGAAAGAGTTGGAACATTCAATGTAATTGTAGTTGGTAGCCAATTTTATGTATTTTTTTAAGAACTAACATTTTTAAACCTGCATGCAGTAACAAATTTAGAGCTAAATGGACTTTGCCTTAACCTCACAGAAGAAAAAAAATTACAAATTATTATAAATAAAACCTTTTCTTTCCAGTTCAAGCTACATTTATATTAACCTAGTATGTTTAATCATACAAATTAAAATGTAAATGTTGAAAATGACTCTTCTAGTTACTTCCTTTCACTAGTGATGGAAATCTGGATGTTTTAAGTTAAAAATATACATCTTTCAATCCAAAAACTTGTATTAGAAGGTTACATTTCAACACTAAAATTTAAGATGTGTGCATGAAAAACAGTAATTTCACAATATGTTGGTGTGTTTTCACCGCACTAATTGGATTTCAGCATCGTATTTGTTTATCTTAACTGATAATTATTGCATGAATGATGCAAATGTGCATTAGTTGGTTTGGCTGCTGAATGTGTTTAATTGCTAGTTGCAGGCTAATATAGTAGGGTTTAAGTTGTTTTTAGTGGCTCTATGTTAAATATTTAAAGGATTTTGGTTTTGAAGTAGTTTTCTATCAGGATCATAATTACTGGGCTTATTTTCTTGATTTGTCACTTGTTTTTTTTTCCTCATCTCATTTGAAGCTTTACCAGTTTTTTTATTTTTATTTTTTAATATAAACCTTTAATGTCATTTTTGACACATTTATTCAGATTGAAAGCAACTCATGAGATTTCTCTTTGAAGTGATTCTTTCTCCTGACCGGTTAGTTTTTCATTTATCGGTTATAGCCATTCGATTAGCCGTCTTTATTGCCTCTCTTAGACGGATTCGGTCACATCTTTCCTCTGTCCTCTAACCTACTTAGATTACATGTTTGTTCACACTGTCCTGAAAAACACAGTTTGTCCGCCTGTGTCAGGATAAACTCTGCTTGCACACGGCGACTGCGCTGCACAGGACGTGCAAGGAGAAACATTTCTGTCTGAGGTTTGGCATTGGCTCATTATGGGACGTTTTCTGCAAGTCAAACATTGCAGAAATGACGCCTAGGTCAGGTCGGCGCTAATGCTGCTCGTTGAGTTATATATATATTTTTTTATCATGTGAGTCATGACTGGCCTGTAGCAGCAGCAGGAGGATTATGTCATCAGTGAGGGCTTGTCTAGTATAGTAGTAACAGTACGCCTGCGTCAGAAAAGCGCCGATCAAATCCCAACTCCTTTCACTTGGAGGAATTTCTTTGTTTTGTGACAAACAGGCTGTCTGTGAACTTTTATTGTTGATCGAGACGTTAGTATCCCAGATGAGGGAGGGAAAATCCCGCTGAAGGAAGAGGAAGTCTTACTCAATAAGGGAAGTAGATTTTTTTTCACTTCCTGAAGATATTTACTTTACTGCATATATAAGGAGTTTGTTTTCTAGTGGTTTTACCGCAACTGTTCCTTTCTTTTATTTATTAAAAAAAAGCAATATTTTAATTGAAAACATTTTATGCAATTTAATATTGATATAAATTATGTGGTGTAAAAAGAGACTGAAGTACATAGTTTCTTTCTACTTGAGAAATGTTTCTTAGTTGGCAGTGGATGAAACTGTAACTTATGTATTTAGTTCATCTGAAATGTCAGCAAAGTGTTTTTTAAAGTAAACTTTTACATAAAGCGACAAGAATTGTACTTTAAAACATTCCCACTAAGGCAGAACTAAGTACTGCAAACAAACCAATAAGAACAATCATTTGGTTTTATTGTATTCAGTTTAAAAAAAAAAATTATTTAAGAGTAAAATAAGCCTTAGTAGTTAGAATATAATGTGTAACTTGACTGAATTGGTAACAAAATAAGTGAAACTCCTGTAGAAAAACAGTTTCTATTAAAGCTTTTTCCTAAAGTGTAGTATTAGAGACAATAATATTACTGTTTATTTTGTTTTTAGAGTTGTCTTTAAATGTGATTTTTGTTGGTGTAAATAAAACGATTTGATCAGCTGCAAAAGTTGATAAATCCGGTGTGTTTCTAAGTGTTTCCATTAACATTTATTCAGCCAGACATGGCAGACGGGACAACTTGTCCAATCTCTCAGAACATTTTTTCTTTTTTTGGCTCGGCGTCATCCTCAGCCGCTGATCGTCCCTCGTGCTGCTGAGGTTCTCAATGAAACTTCCTGTCTGCCTTCGCCCGGGCCAGAAGTTGTCCCATATTTTAGGCGACTTCATCCTCTGAGATGAAATAACTTGGCTCAGCTGACTGAGCAGCAGATGGATCAGCCTTAAATCCAACACTCTGAAAACAAATGACTGAATCAAATCCTTACGGACTCGACATTTACTAAGCCCGGTTTGTGATCCAATTATGTGATTCTGGTGACTCTTCAGGATGGGAATTTGACCCTTCCGTATTAGAGGATGCATTCACACCAGTCCTGATTAGGCCGCTTTAGTTGAACTCTAGTTTATTCAGAAACTCAGGTTTGTTTGTGCGATCAGGCTCTGATGTGGACCAAAAAAAAACAAACTACACATATATGCAGTTTGAATGCTTGTATGAATGCTAAGCAAACCGGCTACAACTCCAAAAGTAGGAAGTGGACAATAGCACAGGGGATTCTGGGTAAATGCAACCAAAAATGAACACGCAAGTCTAATGCCAGAAGAAGAAATGACTGAGTTTTGCAAAAGAGAAATTCTTACACTGCTGGAATCTGACACCACTCCATTTTTATTTGTCGTTCCATTCAGTGTTTCTTGGTACAGCGTCCCAAGAGGTGAGGAGGGGAACAGGTTTTTCAATTAGTTTAGCTAGTTTGAGTGCAGTGTGTAAGCAAACTGCAGCAGCTTAAAATGTAACAAATGTTGCAAATTTGGTCAGAAATGCATTAAAATTATGCCTCAACAAATTTGCAGCAGAATTATCATTGACTCCATCAATTGTGCTGACTACTTGAGGCTCATTCTAGTCTAAAACCACCTCTATGTAATGGTTAGAACAGTAAATCTACCTGAATATGCATTAATAAGCACAGTGGAAACCGTCATAGCAGTACAGCAGAAGCTAACGTCTATAGTCTTTATGTCTACTCTTTGGGGAACAGCCAATATTGTGTCAAGTAGCATTGTGTGTAAATATTTCAGCTGCCTTTTCTTTCAAATATTTTAGATATGCTCTACAGAAAAATCTGTAAATGGAAATTTTCCATAACTAAACGGGATAAATCCACCAACATTGAACCATAACGAGGTGAAAGCAACTACAGTTGAATCCTGATACTGGAAAATGTTTGACTCCGGCTTTATGACTGCTGTAAATTTTTCTCTACAGGTGAGTTTTATCACAAAACAAGGATTTCTTCTGAGAATTTGCATAAAACTGAATATTGACCATCAAAAGCCTTTTTGTTTCCTTTGAAATCCCTCTTCTAAGATAAACGTATGAGTGTTGTAACAAGCGGCAAGATTTCACATGACTCATTTTATTTGCCTTGATTGCATCATGTTCAGCAATCTGCAGCAGCTGGAAAAAATAGAAGTAATATTTGTCTGTCTGTGATTTTGACGGGGTAAAATAATCTGAGTTCCTGATGTGCGCTGAGGTTTAATGGAGTTGTTTACCCACTTCTCTCTTGGTAAAAATTGTTCTTACAATATTTGTATGCAGGATTTTTAAGCCCTTGTCCAAATTTTAGGCTCCAGATTTGCTTTAATGAAGCGTTTGAATAAAAAGCCGCTTTAGGCAGAGTGAGTCATCTGAGCCACGTCACATTAAAACGTGCTTCAGCATTCGTGAATGAAATTATAGTCTGCAACCCTCAATGCTCAGACAGTAGCCCTTTTTATATTTCTTGCAGGTTTTAATTCATTAGTTGCACTTCCTGCTTTTTCCAGCCTCCACCTGCTTTTAAATTTCATTTGCTTGCTTTCCATTAGCTTTCCACACACTCCGTGGGTTTGCCTGGTAACGCGTGTTCGTGTCTAGTTAATGATGAAACGCGTGTTTTACTGCAGCGCCGCCTTCCTAATCCAACTGGAGATGGTAAACAAAATGCCTGAGACTCTGTTTGGGCTCCAGGCTGATTTAGTTGATGAATTGGGTCGCCTAACTGGATCCATCCCAGCTGTTTGTTATCTAGATGTTCTAATGAGAAGGGAATCATTCTGATTGTCCTGGATCCTTTCCTAAATTTAGAGATATTGAACTTGATGGCCATTTACCAGGTTTTAGTGCTGGACGGTGTATCTGAAAAATGTATCATGATGCAACCATTTCATGTCAGTCTATCAGTAATTATAGATTGGTTTTTTACTTTATATATCTGAAATGGTGTCAAACTTGTGGCGCGACCTTTCCTGTTTTATCCAGTTTTCTCTCCATGCTGTTTTTTATTTATTTTTTTATTTTTAAGCAGTTATGAGGGACCTGGGCCTGTTATGATAAGCAATAAATTAATTCTTCACATGAAAATTTAAAGCAAACTTAAAAATGTTCATTTGCATGATTTGTTTTTCTCTATTTCTGAAAAAACTGGATGACAGAAGTTTTGGCTAGCTCTTGTTTTGAAGGACGGTTTGATTACAACTCGTTTTATTTGTTGCTTCTATTGAATTTTTGTGTTGAATGTTGGTTAGAAGTTAAAGTTTGTTGATATTTGAGGATGTGTTGTTGCGTTATGCCATTAACATTGCATCACTTCAAATCGGTCTCAAAACAACAACATTACCATTTGTCGCAATAAATACCAGGATAATTTATTGTCCAGCAAAGTTTATCGTGACGATGGCAAAACTTTTAACTTCCGCTGAGCAGGAAACTCAACAGCTTGCTAGGTAACCAGAGAGAAAATGGGTTGGTTGATTCCACCGACCTTCCTTTGCTGGTTGAGCAGCTAAAGCCTTTCCTCTGCCTACATCCCCCAGAATCCTGTGCGGTTCTGGGTGGGAGCTCAGTGAAATTGCTGAATCTGTTATTGGTATCGATTACGTGTTTGTTGTCCAGCCCTACAACGTTTTTCACTTTCATCCTGTGACCGTCAAACAGAGCCAGCTGAGATGAGCGGTCCAGAGGTCGCCAACACACCGGGAGGCGGAGCGCCGGGAAAGGAAGGGAAAGAGCCGGTGGCCAATGGGCACGCAGGAGACGGACCCGATGCCAATCCGTTTGCTGAGTACATGTGGATGGAGAACGAGGAGGAGTATAACAGACAGGTGTGTTTATGTTATGTGCCGATACACGTTGTAGGAGTCCCACATTTCCTCACAGTCAAGCCAAAAATTAAGTCCTAGTAGATTTAGATGTGAAATTAATGTTTTCATTCAATCTAGAACAGTAAAATAGACTCAAAACTGTATAATAGTCAAATTTGAAAATTAGCTTTATATTACAAAAAGGGCTTTACAATGTTTAATGAAGGAATTTTAACTGCATTACAGCAATCAAACCCTAAAAATGTCTGGGGAAAAGAAGCTTTATTCTTGTTTCCATTAGTAGTTTTATGTAAGCCTGTTTCTGTAGCATAGCAGAGAGAAGGTGATAGACAGCGCTAAGACCCGCCTCCTGGCTGTGATTGGTTGTTTCTGATCATCTGTGCATTTCTACAGGTGACGGAGGAGCTTGTTTTTTTTTAATATTATTATTCAAGCCCAAACTAGCTATATTATTTTTTTTATTTAAACATTCATGAAAGTCACATACTGCAGCTTTAAATTGTGTACGTAAAATGCTGCGACGCAGAGTCTCTGTTCTATATTTTATCCGTTCCTCATGTGTTTTTGTTTTTCATCTCCCAGGTGGAAGAGGAGCTGTTGGAGCAGGAGTTCCTGGAGCGCTGCTTCCAGGAAATGCTGGAGGAAGAAGACCAAGACTGGTTCATCCCTTCGCGTGACCTCAACAACCAGGGAGTCGGCCAGCTGCAGCAGCAACTCAACGGGCTGTCGGTCAGCGACCACCACAGCAACGTGGAGGAAGTGGCGGTGAGTCTGCCTCTCCTCTCCCCTTCACACACATCCTGTTTACAAGAAAAAGCTCTTAAGTCTGTTTTCTCCTCTTCTTCTGCAGAGGAAGAGCATCTTGAATCCTGAAGCGAAGGAATTTGTGCCAGGGATGAAATACTAGAAGTCCCCCTCACCCCCTGGAGCCTTCATGCACACATGAGCCCTTGCACATCCAGAGACTCTTTACGGCCGTGGCCGCACACATTCTTATTGTTACACACACGCAAACACACACCGTACACTTGAAGTCAGTGGCGTGCCGGTAGGCCCAGTTGGGGGGTGGGGGGATTTCTATTTTTTTTCTTTTCTTTTTTTCCTCTTTAATCTTTTTATTTTTGTTTTTTTTCTCGTAAACTGAGGGGCGCTGGGCCCCACAGACGCTAGCTCATCATTTGCATTTCACGTGTCATATTTGCCGTTTTGCAAAGCATGCAGAGCTCACTGTGGCTCCCTGGGAACTGTGGCAGCTACCTGAGAGAGATGCCAGGTCAAAACTTCAACCCAAAGGCTTTACAAGAAATCAAAATCAGTTCGGATCCACACTTGTAATTGCTTTATTTTCAATTTTTTTTTCTTTTCTCTAAAATGAACAAACACCATTTTTAGTAGGAAGAGGGTTTCAGCAACAGCAAGGCTAAAGAAGGACAAGAATTTCAGGGGACTCCAGTGAGGTTCTGTGGCTGCTCTGCAAACTCATCAGTCAAGAAAATTCATTAAATCCGATATACGAAAACTCCTGCTTACATCGCAGCTCTTGTGCATCTAGAGATACGAGTTCACCCGTAGCGGCAGCGGCTCTGTTTCTGAGCAAACCCAGATGCCTCCTGCCCTCCCCCGCCCTTCGCCCCCACCCTGCCTGGCAGTTCACTTCCACCGGTCAGAGCAGACATGGACAGCTGTAATTGTGGATGAGAAATTTACTTTTCAGATTTTTATATTGTCCAGTGCGTAAGAGCCGAGGTGGTTTAACGCCTAAATCATGCATCAAGTTGAGTTTGTTGTTTAAAAATATATATAGATTCTAATTGTTTATTTTGCTATCGGCTTCATGCTTGGTTTCAGATTGGGTTTATTTGGGGACCAGCGTTGTTATGGGAACGGGGGGACGGAGGGAGACGGGTTTGCTTTGAAACTCAGCCGCTGCCTCCTCCTGCTGGACCGGCTCGGTTCGCTCAGATTTGGTGTCCAGATCTGTCTCCTTTTTTTTTTTTTTCCCTCCTTTCTTTCCACTTAGTGTGTTTGAGGACGAGTCGTTGGTTTCTACTGTGGTGTCCAATTTGTCCTGATAAAGTGGAGCATTTGGTGGACAGTATTGCATCCCTCCAATTCTTTTCATTTCTACTCAAGGACAGAATTTGTTTTCCTTCTCGACGAAGTTCTTCCTTCTGAACCAGAACTCCTCGTGTTCCAGGATTTTCCGGAGTTTGTATTGTTTGAATATGATATCAGTTAAGTTTCAGCTGCAATCGCAAATTACGACGTCCTGTTTTCTGAAATCTGCCACGTGGGCTTATAAATTCAGCGGCAGTATTATGGAGAAACCATCAGAATATTTCACCACTGGGTAATTGGTCGTCCTATTGGCTCGTCTTGGTGCTGTCGCTGCCCGGAAATGCAGGAGTTCTGGTTTTCTGGTGGAACTTCCTCAGTGTTGGACCACAGCACCGAACAGCAACCTGGAGAATGGATAAGCCAGCGGGGACCGTCCGCCAGGTGGATCGTACAACATGAAATCATTTTTGGTGATTTTTGTTTTGAGTTAGATGACAGAAGCTGTTTCAAAAAAAAAAAAAAAAGAGAAACGGGGGAAAAAATAAAAAAAAAAATTCTGAAAACACAGTATGAATTTCAATAGAGTTAAAAATAATGAAAAAAGACGAATAAAGATGTTAAAGACAAATCTAAGCTGTCTGTTTTTCTGTTTGGGGTTCTCTTTCCTCCAGTTTAATTTATATTTTAAAGTACACAAAATACATAAGCAAATTAAATGCCATGTTCCAGCTCTGGTAGATAACTCCATTTTTTTGTTCAACTTCAAAATCTCACCACATTGATGAAGGGTTTCAGCAAAGGCTGTACAATATCAGAAACAAATGCAACATTTAAATTCAAATGACTGATTTAGTGTTGACATGGTTTCCTCAGCCTTGCCTCCACTGAATGGCCACAAAGTCCAACATCAACTGCTGGCAACAAGAATCAAGTCTGTTGGACTGACTGCAGCTGGAGTCTTGGAGAAACCTCAGGACAGCAACCAAGACGGTAAAACTGGAACAGATTGAGCTTCAAACAACCCTCAGCAACCAGCAGAAGTGGTTACAAAGTGGCTTAAAGGACGATCTGAAACCTGATTGGAAGGACTGGGTCAGAACTCCAGTAAACTACTAAGAAGCTTGTGGAGAGAAAACCAAAATATTTGATCCAAGACATCCCTGATACTTACCAAATAAATGTATGACAGAGTTTGTATGAAACTTCAATTGGGTGTTTTTAAGGTTTGGAAAGTGCTTGATATTCAAACTGCTCAGTTTTTGATAAAGTGAGGTCTAGCATTTTACGAAAAGCACAAATTTGTAAAAAGTAAGTCAATTGAAACCAGATATTTTCATACACCGAACACATTTTTGTTCTGTCAGAAGTCAAACTTCAGACTAGGATTCTCCTTACAGAATTACCAAAATTACATTTGCTAAATGCCAGAAAACTGAATACAGAACTTTAAGATGTTTTTCTTTGTATATTGTGTTTTAGCAGGAAGGTAATTTACATCAACACTATTAGTTTGGATTGTTTCAATATGATGAATATTTATTGTTCCTAATGGTTAAATTATATTAATCTGTCTAATTAAAATAAAGTTAAGATTATATTTTATACATTGAAACGTTATATTTTGATGAATTGGTGTTTTGTTCTTCTGCCTGGTGCATAGGTGTGTGTGTGAGATATTTCGAAACATTTTCTTATATTTTAGTTTACTGGTAGCTGTAGAATAATATCATAAGTCAGTAATACATTATATTATAGTGAATTATATATTATAGTGTTTTTAGTTCATTTGTATTATAATCTCCATTCTATGGAGTGCATAGTATAACAATACTATGCACTATAGTGGTGCAAAAGTTTGAAAACTTACCTAGAAATGTACTATGGGAAAAATACAAACCCTGTTATGTAAACCTCTGAATTAAAAAAATTACAATAAAATAAAGGCATTTTCATGCTACATTTTCAGGCATTTAGCAAATATAAATAATTTTAGTAATGCTAAGTTGCCTAAAACAAGAATGACTTAAGACAGTGAAAGAAAAAATGTCTGGATGTAAACTTCTAGTTCCAACTGCCTGCACTGAGGCTGGGTGTATAATTGTCACCCTGTGTGGTTTGAAAAAACCCCCAGAATAATTGTTTTTTTTTTTTAGAAAACATGTCCCTCAAAAACAACGCTTCAAACAAATCAGATACAGTCACTTAAATTTTCCCTGAGTGGTAGTTCTACGTTTTCTTCACATTAAGACCTTCTCTAAACTACTGCGCCTCCTTCCTCTGGGTGGCTGGTGGGAGTTATGACTCACGCTCAGCTCCTGTGTCCTTGGGGAACGCATTCGAGCCCAAACTAGCTCTGACTGTTGATGTGTTTTAGCAACAATTAGCTGCTGTGAAGCCTGAAAAGCGCAGGTGGTGCGATAAAGACAAAGCTCTTCACACCGCGACTGGTTATGTTTCAGACAAAAGACAAACAACTCTTCTTTTCGTGAGCTGTGTATTGGGGGCTGATCTTTGTGACAAGGAGGAAGGTGACGTTAGCCGGGTTTGATCTTTGGCTGGAACCACTGGGCAGAGAAACATGGAGACGAGAAAAGAGATTAGAACATTACGGCGACGTCAGGAGAGGATCTGCGGCCTCAGTCTGTACCTTAGCAGAATAGCTGTCCTGATACTCGGTCATTGGAGGCCTCTTGACGGGGTGTGGCAGTCCGCCGCTCTGGCAGACGTGAGGAGGGACAAGTTGCGCCCCACAGCAGCAACCTAATGGATGCTCAGATTTAGATCCACAGCTGGGAGAAAAACGAAGACAGAGTCAGAAAACAATGAATAAATTATATATGTGTAAATAAGTGTTGTGTATCTGTGACATACTTGCTGCAGTAGTGGGATGAAGGTGTGAAGGCTTGGCCGGGGCAGGGTTCGGGATATACAGCTGGTTGGCTCACGGCGGTCAAGTTGCCCCCCGTGACTCCTGCATCCAATCAGAGTTGAAAAGTTAAAAGTGAATTCCCAGTGCCTTGCAAAAGTTTTAGCAGCCTTTGAACCGTCACATCTTTTCATGTCGCTACCAGCACGCAAACTTTGATGTATTGTGTTGATATTTTTACCCTTTAGACCTACACAAAGTATTGCATAGCTGTGAAATTAAAGGGAAACAAAAATCTGAAAAGTGTGGCTTGGACTTGCATTCTGAGTCAACACTTTTAAGAATCTTTTTTTTTTCTTCAGTTGCTTGCAGTCAGTCTTCTGAGTTAGGTGTCTACCAGTGTCACATGTCTACACAATGAAATTGTAGCTCATTCCTCTGTTCAACACTAGAGAAAGTGCAGTCAATTAATCTACTGTGCACTTCAGAACGCAGGCAATAGCACTTTTTTCTAACTATTTAAACTATTTACAGTTAGCACAGATCACTTCTCTTTGCTGTCAGAGGTTTCATTTTTAGTACTTCGCACTGTCTCCTGTTCAATCAGCTGCATTTTTAATGTTTTAAGGCTTAATTTAATTTTCAAATTCTGAACTAATTGTGACCAAACTAAGAAATAATTTAATTTATCCTTTGCGCACTAAATGAAGTATTTTAGAAAAAAACTATATCTTGATGTTATTGCTCAATAAAACTTTGTTCTATGTCTATTTCGTCCAGTATTTCAGCTTAAATGTTTGCTGTTTTTCCAACCCTTAGTCCCTACTTTTTCACGACATAGATTGGATCATTTTCTGCAGCAGGTTGTTGAAAAAACAGCAGATGATGAACCTGTGGCGTGATTCAGTGTGATGTAAGGAGCCGTCCCCCGTGGAATGGTGCCCATGTGAGTTGGAGTGGCGGTCTTGTGCAGAATCTGCAGGACATCCTCACACTTGATGGGACCTCTGTATGGTGATAAAACAATCACTCCTGCAGGAGCACAAGTAAGAGAATTAAACTTTATACATGAGACATGTGCTTTTCTGCATTCATTCCCTTGGGTAAGAATGAACTGCCCTGCAAAATGATTCACACCCCATAAAATTCTTACATTTTGTCACATTATAGCCACAAACACCATGAATTCAAGCACACAGCCCTGTGATGTGCCTCTGTTCAGGACCAAGGTGGATGATGTTCGGTCTTCTAATCTCGCCATCTGAGGCCTGTTGGTGAAAAAGTCCCCTATTCATAGTCACATTGATGCCAAAAGTCGTGAAACGTCACCATCAGCTTCTCAGGGACAGGAAGTATTAAATGCTGGACTGAAGTCATCCTAACATCAGTGTCAAGACGCATTCTCTGTGGACCGGTTCCCTGATGACTGGGGTTAGTGCGACTCATTTGAACCGGTCACAGCAGATTTTGTTTTGGTACCAGCACAATGATGGAAGACTTAAAGCAGACAAGGACAGTGGAAAACTCCTCAGACATTATAAAGAGGACATTAAGTATAGCCTAATATATGCCATTATAAAACATGCTGTTTTACATAACTGTTTAAGCAGCACGTCCTATGTTTTCAACATAAACATTTGCTAAATAGTTAACTAGCAACCTAAATATTTAATTAGCAGGTAGAATATATAGTTTGAAAATGAAATAGTTTGTGACTAATAGTTAGTTAGCAAAATAAATGTTATTTTGGAACTAAATATTTAGCTCAGACTTAAACATTTAGGTTGGTATTCAATATACATTTGAAACTAAATAATTAGCTTCCTAAATAAATATTTAATTTCAAAACTAAATGTGTAGTTTGCAAACTAAACAGTCAGCTTGAGAATTAAATATTTAGTTTAGAACATTTATAAATTTCTGAATAACATGGTGGTAAAAATTTTACTTTGAGCATCCACGTTTTTTTCTCTATTACCGGTAAAATAAACCAAAAATATTGCTGTTAATTTTTTGTAGCTGTACAAACGGCATAGATGTGTGGTTTGTAAACTGCTCATCATATCGGAATATTTTATTCTGTTGCTGTAAGACCCTCTAAAAATATCGCAATATACCGAGTCGGGTATAAATCCAATTCAAAGATACTTTGAAAAAAAATGTTTTAATAAGGTTTCTAAATATGGCTTCCAAAAAAACGTGAAAAGTTCAGTTTAGTTTTCAGCGACAGCGACCGTTCCAAAATGGCGGCCCTACGGCACATCAACGACAATACGGCAAAAAAAAAAACGACAACAAAAAAAAAAACGGCCCGTGTACTCTTTATTATTATGTTTAACATAACACTAACATCTGCGGGGAGTGTTACGGAAATTTTTCGAAAAGTACCGGTCATTGGTGTCGTTTTAACAAGCTCGCAACAACCAAAAATATTGCGGTTTAACTGACGAGCGGCTCGGCGTAAGCGGAACGTTATGGGTGGACCAGAAGAGAGCAGAACACGGACATAACGTCCGTTGTAACCCCGGTGGTACAAAACTCTGCTGTGAATTACGAAGTCTGAGCCTTAATTTTCAGCAGATCTGTCCTGCTGTGCCGCTTGGCCGTTTCAGCTGCCAGTCCAGATAACGAAAAGACAAAAACAAGTTAATAAATAAAAACAAGGATAGCCGTAATCTTCGAGTCGCTTGCCCGTTAACGCCCCGGCCGAGCGACCGTTAAGCAACCGAAGCAGGGTACAAATGTGTAACGTTTCAAGCGGT